GTAGGAAAAGATTTTATGAACAAAACCTCAGTTGCCCGTGAACTAGCGCAAACAATCAACAAGTGGGATCTCTTCTTATTAAAAAGCTTCTGCACAGCAAGCCAAACCACCAGCAGTGTGAAGAGACAACCCACAATGTGGGAAAAAATCTTCACCTGCTCTTTCTCAGAAAGAGGTCTACTATCTCGAATCTATAAAGAACTTAAACTCCCAAATTTAAAGACCCTGTCCGAAAATGGGCATCCTCTAGTTTTATTTCAATTTGAATATAGATGCCATCTATGAAAGGGGGAAATTTCTGATTCCTTAGCCTTTTATTCTAGTTTACAAATGGAATTGTTATTGTATTAGTTGCCTTCTCCATGGAATTGTTTTTCTAAAACCTTTACTGAATCTACGATGGTACCTTTTAACAGATGACCAGGTTTCAAATAAAAATCCATCTGTTCACAATAGCCATTGATAAAATATTTTCACAATTATCTGTTACTCTGTTTCTAACCAATCCTTGAAATGTGAGATCAGTAAATTGTTCACTGCATGTTTAAAATATTTTTACCCTATCATGAATTCATTTTTATTTTTCAAAATAGATTTAATTGAAGCAAAATTAGTGGGAATACTAGATATTCTGGATGAAGAAAATCGCCTTCCTCAGCCAAGTGATCAACACTTCACATCAGCAGTTCACCAGAAGCACAAGGACCATTTCCGGCTCACTGTGAGCTTTATGATTTCATGTATTTTACACCTTAAATGTTGTCTAAAGGAATATTATGTAGCCTATTTTTGAGAATTTAATAGTGCCTGTATGAACTGTTTTTCAGATTCCCAGGAAATCCAAGCTGGCAGTTCATAGGAATCTCAGAGATGATGAAGGCTTTATTATCAGGCATTTTGCAGGGGCCGTGTGCTACGAAACAGTGAGTGTGTCATTTTAAGGAGAAAACCACTTGAAATTGAAGCTGCACTGCACAGTGCACTAGCCTCTAGCTGGTTTGGAGTGGCTATTTAAATTTAAATTTAATAAAATGTAAGAATCAGTTCTTCAGTACAGTGGCCACATTTCAGGTACTGGTAACTGTGTTGCATGGTGCAGAGAGAACATTTTTGTTACCACAGATCACACAAAGTGCCACTGGACAGCGCGGAGTTAGGGGTGTGTATCACAAGATGGACTGAAACATTCTATTTGATTTATTTTTCAGACCCAGTTTGTGGAGAAAAATAATGATGCTTTACATATGTCCCTTGAGTCCTTAATATGTGAGTCCAGGGATAAATTTATACGGGAATTATTTGAATCATCCACAAATAATAACAAAGACACTAAACAAAAAGCAGGAAAACTTAGCTTCATCAGTGTGGGAAACAAGTTTAAGGTATTTACTTTGAAAACATTTTAAGTGTATTTAAAATAAAATATATTATTTTATATTCTAAAGTGGGTAATGTAGATCGCTCACTGTCAGAAATCCCATAGGTGAGCTTCAAGAGAAGACCTTGTACTTTTGGTTCTTATGTGTAAAATACCACGGTCACTGAATGTGCCAAAATGATTGTAACTTCCTAAATGTGTTCTTTCTGGTGCATAACATATCTCGTTGATTCTCCTAATGACCTTGCTTCTTCATACTGTCTAGTTGACCTTTACACCTTCTCTTTTCCCACATGTTTTCTGTTTCTTTCCTCGTTCAGCAGTTTTGTTTTAGCTGCAGTAGGCCAGTTCGGGATGGCTAGAGAGGACTAGTTGAGTTGAGAGGAAAAGCAGGCACAGCCAGGGCCTTCAGGTAATGATCGCCTTCATGGACTCCTTTGCTAGAGTGGCTGCCATGTCACAAAGAGCCATTTGAGTTAATGATTCCATTTGTGCTTCATTTTCAATGCATTTCCTCTCACAGTGGCATCATCGGCATGCTTATGACACTAAACCTCGATTAAAGCTTTTGGTAATTTCTTGAAAGATAAGTGCTCGCCGGGCATTTAGCTCAGTTGTTCCAGCGCCTGCCTCACAGGCGTAAGGTCCTGAGTTTGATTCCCGGTACCCCCCAAAAAAGATAAGTGCTCACGTGTGGTAAACTCTTCAAGTTGTTTAACATTAGGGAATATACATTTATTAATTTAGGGTTGGGAATTTATCCTTTGAAATCTGGCAAGGCATTGTTACCAAGTGTGTTGTCTTAGAACATGCAGGGTGTGGTGGCACATGCCTGTAATCCCAGCACTCTGGGAGGCTGAGGCAGGAGGACCGAAAGCTAGAGGCCAGTGTGAGGAGCTTTAGTCACTCAGCGAGATTCTATCTGAAAAACAGAAAAAGGGTTGGAGACATAGCTTAGTGTTAAAGCCCTGGATTCAATCCCTAGTACCACCAAGAAAAATGAAAATAAAAATAAAAAATGAACTCTACTAATTGGTTATAATTTTGAGTATTTAGTATAGACAAAGAAACACTTATGTTACAAGTTTTATGAACAGAGAAGTACAATATTGTACATAGAAGAAAAATTGAATTAACTTTTACACATTTGCACAAAGTAGTAATATTATATTTACAGTAAAACTGTTTGCCTTTTGAAATATGTACTTTATCAAAAGTGATATAATTAGAAAATGTTTATCGGAATAGTATAATAGTAACTGGCAGTAAAAGCTTCAGATCCCTTTTGGATTGAATTGGGCTCTAAATAACTTGATAAAAATCATATTTCTAGGGCTTTGAATGCTCAGTGGTAGAGTGCTTGTCTAGCATACATGAGGCCCTGGGTTTGATCTCCAGCAGTACCAAAAAAAAAAAGTCTTATTTCCAAAAGGTAGATTAAAAATATATATATAAGAGAAAATTAGGTGACTGAATTTTAAGTTACATTCATTCATTATGAGTTCCTAATTTACTCAATAGGCAATATTTTTTCTGTTTTATTCTTCCATTCCTGATTAGACATTTGATAACAGATTGCTTTAAAAATAGTGCATTAACTTGATATATTGGTATGCATTTATAGTCCCAGCTACTTGGGAGACTGAGGCAGGAGGGTTGCTTGAACCAAGGAGTTCAGGTTCACTCTGCATAACATAGACCCAATCTCAAAAAAAAGAAAAATTACATTAATTTATAAAACAAATTCATCAAGTATTTTCCTACTGTAATATTAAAGAAGTACTGCTGGTGAGAATATACCTGAATTTTAGACAATATAAACGAAAACAAAGCATTCTTAAAATTCCTCTGGTTTAAAGAATCTTGTGTTGAGCCTTGAAAGCTTTATAATTATTTATACATAATATATATATTTTTGGTTTGAACTCTTGAAAGCTATAACTGATATTTAAAATATTAGTTTGGAATGAAAATCTTAATGATTGTTGGTTTTAAATATGGTTGACTGGCTCATCAAGTTAACTTTGAAGTATGTAAGGTAATAACACAAAACAGGTTATCATTTGTAGTAATAGTTCAGTTGTCCAGCATCGTGGGAGACGAAGTTTTCCTCAGAATAGTGACATTTTCAGGTTATTGAAACATATTTCTCTTATTGTTTTAGAAAAAGTAATTCTTTTTGATAGAAACCATATTCTGTTATAAATATGAATACTTATGTGTTTTTCCATAAAAGTACAAATGGAGCCAGAGTTTCCTAAGGCTGTTTACCCTATGCCTTACGGGTTGTTTTATTTTTGGTACCGGGAATCAAACTCAGGACCTTGTGCTTGCAAGGCAGGTGCAGTGCCACTGAACTAAATCCCCTGCCTTATGGTTTTTGACAGCTTTTTTGATATTTGGCCTTCTTTTCTCTTTTCTCACTACAGTTAGTTTATTTTTGTTGCTTCCATTGTTCTCACTGTATCTCCAGTTGGGGGAAGAACACCAGGCTCAGTCTGTGGATTAAAGAGCACAGACTTGGCAACAGTTGTTTTCTTTCAAAATTTGGGGCTCTCGGACTTGTTTTTGAGTTGTATGGGGGTCCAGAATGATTAGGTTGTCAGGACTCTGTCAACCAGATAAGTTGGGGTATGACTGTGTTTCTTCGACCCAGTGATGTTCCTTTTATGTTAGTAACTGAAGCCTATGACAAGTGCAGTGTATTGTGGGATCAGAGAGGAGAACAAAGTCTGGTGTCAGGCCTATATTGGAATTATGACTCCATTAGCTTAGGCAAGTCATTTATCTTCCTTGGCCTCCGTGTCATGCCTGAAAAATGAGGCTATTAATGTATCCTTCATTAGGATTGTTGTGTTACTCTTAATTGGATTAAGCTTGATGATATTCATGAAATCCTTTGAGCAGTGCCTTACAGGGAAGCATTCCGTAAAGTGCCTGTTTGTATCAATTATAGTTATGACCAACATAATATTAATGTAAGAATAACATTTTAATTTCTGTCTTCTAAGCAGTATAATAAGATCTCAGTGTAAAAGCCATATACAGAATTTTACATAATTGATTTACTTTGCCAAGTAGTAAGGCAGATAAATGATTTTAATGTACTGAACCAGAGTACATTATAATCAATATTTTAAAAGCAGGAAAGCATAGTGTCTTATATTCATTTTCCATTTTAAAAGAAAATTGTTCAAGTTTTAAAAAATAATTGAAGTGTGAAATGTTTTAAAATAATAGGAGAATTTCTGTAGCTAGGTAAGACAGTTTGGTTTATGCTGAGTGTTATGTAGAATAATCCTGATAGGTATCAGTAGTGCATATTTTAAACGTGTCTTCATTCTTAATAGCTTGTGACACAAACTATGCCTGGTTTGCCACACCTTGAAATACTGCAATGCTATTCTCATTTTGATTACTTTCCCAGCTTTCTCATTTACTTCCCTCATTGCCGATATACTTTTTCCTCACTCATCCCACTTGCAAATCTGTGTATGATTATTTTTAGTATACTAATTTTCAGTCTTTTAATTATACAAGTTCTGTGTAGTTACAGCCCTTGACATTTCATTGGCCATATTGCATGATGCTGTTAAAGAGTTTGTGTACAGAAGTTTGTTAAGTTCCAAAGTGTTATATGTGGATGTTATTGCATGTCATTTTATTTTAATATGGAGAATTAATATTGCTGTGTACTTTGACTTCTTGAAATAATCTGATTTCCTTTCTTTCACAGACACAGTTAAATTTGCTTTTGGATAAACTTCGAAGTACCGTGAGTACACTTAAAGGTCCAAAGGGGTAGGGGAAGTGGGAGGGGAAGGGGAAAGGAAAGAAGGGAAAGGAAAAATTATGAGAAAAGGAAAAAATATAAACAAAGTCTATAGGGAAGGGTGGAGGGGATGTAGGGAGCACAGGGAATGGGGAAAAAATAAGAACCAGGATACATCGTGTACAGGTGAAAGCACCCAATGATAAATGTAAATGTATACCTAAAATATACCAATAAAAGAATTTAAGCAAAAAAAAATACATTTTTAAACAGTCTTCTAACACTATTATTAATATTTACCGAAGTAAACATAGTAGTAACCCTGGAATAATTAGAAATATATTTTAAACCAAATTCCCTTCATTAAAATATGTTTATGAAAAAAATACATTTATGAAATGGTTACTGTTTTGGTTAGGTGTGTTCTGAAGAAAGGTCAAATATGTATGTGAAGTTAAACTTTTACAAAATACAGAGCTCTTTGAATGTTATTGAGATTAGCCGATAGCTTCACAAAGGTGAAGATACTAGTAAGTGTGGAGGAAAATGTATTTTTTAGGATTAAAGATAAGGAATGTAATTTAATTTCATTTTATTACTCTTGTAATGTCTGAACATTCTTCAGACATGGCAATGTTGATATGGAAAAATGGACATACTTTTTATGGCAAAATTTTTATGGCAAAAAATATTTTCAGGCAAAATTTATGGGGACCTATTTTTTTTTTTAACTATACATCTTAGTGACTCTGTATTATTAAATAAAAAATAAAAACTGCCACAGAAAGAAAGTTTTTCCTTTGAATGTCCTCATTGGCTGCAAACATTTACCTCTTAGGGACTAAGCTGATGAAGAGGGCCTTTTACTTTTATTTCCTTCTGCGGTTTATAGAAATATGTTCTAAAAGTGTTTACATTGAGCATCCTTGTTGAAATAGCTGTTGAGTTTTTCCAGGTTACTATTTTGAAGAGAAACAGTTATTTGTAGGTCTAATATATTAACTTCAGTGCAAGATAGTTTCACTGCATACATAATCAGTATTCTTTTGCCTCATTCAGGATAATCAGATAGTCAAATGCATGTCTTTTGGCTTTAATAAATATTGTTTAACAAATTAAACTTTTCAGCTGGGCTTGGTAATGCACACTTGAAATCTCAGCACTGTGGAAGGCTGAGACAGAAGAATTAAAAGTTTGACCCCAGCCTGGGCAACTTAGTGACTTAGTGAAATCTTGTCTCAAAATAAAAATATTATAAAAGGGATGGGGATGCAGCTCAGTGTGAGGTCCTGAGCTCAGTTCCCCTTTACAGCAACAGCACTGCGGCAGCCACGCCACTGCCACCACCATCACAGACCAGAACTGAAACAAACAGAAAAACCCCAATATTTTTGAAATAAAATGAAAGGGTTGGTGGATTTTGTGTATGTGTGCATTTAAAAAAAATGTTTTGGTATAAAAAGGGCATAATTTTATTTAATCCTCTTATGCTAGAATAATTTTCTTACCACAGAAATAGTATATAAGTACTTATACATGAATATAGAATAAAATCACGTGTATGTCAACCTGTAAAACATATTGTTTAAATATGATACATATTTTATAGTGAAAGACTTTAAAAATAAATTTTATCATTCAAATCTAAAATTAATATTTTCTGCTATTATAATGCAGAAATTTACTTCAAGGTTCAAATTATAAAAGTATACCAATATGTTTTTAAGTTCTTTAGTGGTTGTTTTAAAAGTTTATGTATTAATACCTTTGAGAATTGCTGGTATTCATAGAACTAGAAAACTATGGATATTCTCTGTATTATCTCAGAACTGCTTTTATCTTCCTAGGGAGCGAGCTTTATTCGTTGCATCAAACCTAATTTGAAGATGACGAGCCACCACTTTGAAGGGGCTCAAATTCTGTCTCAGCTTCAATGCTCAGGTATTTTTATGTTTTCACATTCGTGTCATCATGTGTCAGGCACAGTTTAATAGGGCCCATGTTTTCGAATAATTCACCATAAGCTTGATTATTTTTGCATCCAGTAAGATTTTTATCTTATGTTTCCTTTAAGAAAAGCGTGGATGTTGACATCATTTACATTCATGGTCACTGACCTTTCAAGGCCCTCAGACCTGTCCTGCCAAGGTTCCCTGGTCAGCACTTTGTTTCTCCACAGAGACCCGTCAGGTCACCCTGCTGTTCTCACATCTGAGGCTCTGCCGCAGATGACTGCGCCTCTCAAAATTTAAAGCCACCAAGCACAGCTACCTATCTGCGCACCACGCTTCCTTCTTGTCCAGAAAGCAGGAATTCCCTTTTTCCTAGTTGAGGCTTACATTGCCTTGAAATCCATCTCTTCCCATTCTTCGATTCTGATGATTTTTTACCATTTCTCTTGCCATTTAAACACTCTAACATCTCATCTCTGACCCACATTCCCTCCCAGCTACTCCTTTCTTCCTCACTGTGTTTCTCCAGTTGTTCTTTGCTCTCCATGAATAGTCTATTTCTGATTTCTCAGTCCTCTGTGTTTTACTCACTCTTTAACCCCAAGAGAATTGAGCTTCTGTCCTGAGGTCACCAGTAATTGCCCTGATCTTAAATCAAATGTCCATTTTTCAGACCTTAAAGAAGTCCTCTTAGTGGACTTCACAAGCATTTGGCCCTGGCCAATCCCTTTAATGTACCCTTTCTTTGGCTTCTGAAACAGCATGTGTCTCTGTTGGTTCTGTCAGCTAATTTTTTTCTACCTGGGTATTATTTGTCTCAGGGTTTAAATTAGACCAATTTTATTACTCACTGTTGATCAACTCTGCCCAATAGAACTTTGCATGATGCTGGAATTCCTCTGTATCTGTGTTATTCAGTATGACGGCAATTAGACACTTTGGAGGCTGAGTTTTAGTTAATTTTAATATTTTTAAATTTAAATAGATATGTCTAGTGACTGACATGTTGGACAGCGTAGGTCTCCATTCTCTAAGTGTCTCTGACTCCCATTGGTGTGACCCTTTAATACTGTGTCCCGTTACACTCTAATCCAAGCTGTCACCCTCTCTGCCCTGGCCTTTTGCAAGAGCTTCCTTTTCTTTACACCTACTGTTAGCGTATGAGGCCCCGAGTCATCTTCCCTGTGTGTCCCTAGCTTCACTTCTTCCCAATGTTGTGCTCCCCCACATTGGCTTTCTTTCCTCCTAGTGTCTGAAGTGTTCTGCATTCCATCCTGTCACAGGGCCTGTGCACATGCTGCTTCCTGTGTTTAGGACACTCGCTACACCTTTTTCTTCATCTTTCACATCTCAGCTTGATTGCTACTTCCTATGAAAGCCTTCCCTGATACTCCTATCTGAGAAATGGGGTCTTAGTTTATGGTTCTGAGTTCTGATGCCTTTATTTCATAGTCATAGTTACAAATTTTGCATACACTTGCATAATTATTTAAATTTTTCCTTTTCCATTTATGAGCCCCATGAGAGCAGGAAATGTATCTGTTTTGACTTCATAAAAATCTCACTTCCCTGGCATATACTAAACTCAGTAAATATTTGTTGAATAAAACATGTGATCTGGCAAATATAAAAATTTGTTACTAATTCCGACGTACTGGAAAATTAAATAATTCATATTTACTGAATTCTTGTATACACTAGAGATGCATTTTTGTGTATTGTTTTTAGGGTGTTATGGCTTAGAGTTTAACTTTTTCTCATTTGAATTCCTTTTTAGGATTTGTTTAACATAACGCAATTCATTTATTTCCTAAGTGAACATCTATTGCCCTAGCAAATGAAGCATGTTTAGATTTAGCTAGATGTGCTATTAGATTAGCAGAGTATGAGCTCACTGGTGCTAGAAATGTGAGCAATACACCTCAGAATGTTAAGATATTTTGGCAGCCTAGTAGATGATACCAGCTCATAAAAGTTTGACTTGTTGAAGTACTATTAATAGTATAATGATACAGAATTGGTTCTAGTCATGTAGCTAGGTAATGAGAAAAACAAAAAATAACAACTGGTAAAAGTAAAAATATTTATGAAGTGTTCCAAGATGAAGATAATTGAACATTTAATTGTTTTACCTTTTCATTTCTACTTTTTTCCTTTTTAAAGACAAATAATTTAAGAAATATTCCACTAAAATTATCCTCTTTTTACCAGCCAACACCAGGGCAAAGTAGGGGAGGGAGAGAGAAGGTTTTCTTCCCCTGTAGCCTCAGGGCTGTGCTGTCTGTGGTAGCAAAGAAGGCTTCTGAGTACAACCAGCCAGCACTGTACCAAGCAGGTCATGGGAATTTCTAGAAGGAATAGAGTTTTATTATTTTTTGCATTACATAAGATCTTTTTTTTTTGGTACTGGGGATCCAACTCGGATCCTTGCGCTTGCAAAGCAAGCAGTGAAACCACTGAGCTAAATCCCCAGCCCCTGAATTACATAAGATCTTAAGAGTGAATTAGCCTCAACTGCTGAGAAATCAGTTGTAGGATAGGTAATTTGTGATGCTTCATGAAATTCATAATGTTCACATTTTGCAGTTGTAGGGCAAGCCAAGAAACACTGTGGTAGTGCATACATTTTTCCAAGGATACTTGATGTAAATGCGCAGAAACTGACAATACTAACAAAACCTTACTTTTTTCTCCATGCAGGGCCTAGAACTAAATCTACTTCTGGAATTTTGTTTTTCCTCATAAGAAAGATGTTCTTTATGTGTTTCAGTAATTTTTAATTTTTATATATATTGGATCTATTTATACTAGTTTGATGAAGCTTTGCTGTATTTTTAGTTAATGTATCATATTACATTATATATTTGTAACATAATTTAATCAGTAGATATTTAAAATATTTCTGATTTTTTTCTACTGCAAACAGGTACCTAGTGGACATTTGGACATTGTTTACAACTTATCTCTGTCCAAATGTGAGAAGTTGTAGGATAGATTCATAGAAGTACAGCAATTACTGGACCAGAAGTATAAATACTGTATCCAAATTGCTGTGCTTAATTGTTGCACTGGTTTACATTCTCACTAAGAATGTATGTGTGTGTTTTCCTGCACTGTCATAATCTCTGAGTACATAGTGGTACCCCAGTTCTACAGTTTTGGAAAAGATGGCCACATTTATGTTTGTGTGGGAAAGATGGCCATGGTCATGTTTGTCACCTGAGTTTGCAAACAAAAACAAAATTTTCCCAAAAGCTTCTGTTTATGACAACAAATTGTTTGCAAACACAAGTGTTCATGAACTGAGGTACCACTGTATTACTATTTTACATCTTTTGCCAGTCAGTTAGGTTAAAATTCAATCTGACTGCCTAGAAAGGCCATCTTTCCTATGAGATTATTTTAAAATAAAAATTCACTTATTTGAAAGACTTTCATAGTTTTTTTATTTAAAATTATTTTACTAGAAAGATTTATTTTAGCATAAGAAATGAGATAAGATCTGATGTTATTTTTGTTTTCCAAAAGACTGAGTATCCATTTGTCATAAAACTTTTTAGTGAATCCTATTTTCTCCTTGATTTGAGTAGTCCCAGATACTGAAATCCAAGTCTTGTTGTGAATAAAAGTCTCGCAATTATATTTAGCAATTGAATCTTTGTCAACCTATTTTAAACTTTCCCTGACCTGAAAAACTCACATTGATTCAGGGCTTGGATTTAAAATTTATTAGAATTATACTGATAACAAATATTTATTCTATGGACACATCATTCCAGTAGATTAGTTTCTTTGAGAAGAGTCTTTTTATTTAAAACTTTTTTTTTTTTTTTTTGCCTTTTGCTTTAAGAACTGGAGAGAATTTGGAAATATATTTTACTACTTTTTGGAGACTATCAGGAATCCTGTTCTAAAATTAACCTCAGGACTTAAAAAGTGACAAGGTATAGGGTATATTAGTCAGTTTTCATGTTGCTGGACAGAGGACCTGGCATATACAACTTAAAGGAGGAGAGGCTTAATTTGGCTCATGTTTTAAGGGGAGTCAGTCCATGCAGAAGGGTATGATGAAGCAAAGCTACTTAGTTCATGCCAGCTGGAAAGCAGAGCAGGGGAAAAATATGCCAGAGAGGAAGGATGGAGGGACCAGATATAGACCTCAAGGCCACACATCCATGACCCACCCAGACACACCCAGAAGTGTTCTACCAATGCCTTGGGTGGATCCCAAAGCCAGTCAAGTTGCACTCTACCCTGATTGCTGCATCCCAACCCTTGTCAACTTGTAACCCAAACATATTTCCTTCAACTATACTTAAAATCTCCAAATAAAAATAAAATCTCCAAATAAAAACAATAGCAAGGTCCCAATTTCATCTAACATAATACAACTATTCTGTTGTACAACTGGAAATGCAACAATCCATTCCCCAGAGGCTCAACAGTTCCAGTCTCTTCTGAGACTCAAGGCAAACCTTCAACCTGTGAAGCTTTGTAAAAATAAAAGAACAAGTTATGCAATCTCAAGATACAGTGAGTGGTCCTCCCAATTCCAAAAGGGAGGAATAGAGCTATAGAAAAGGAATAGGTCCAAAACAAGCCTGAAACCCAGCAAGGAAAACACTAAATCCTGTAGCTGTGTGTATGGAATCTGGGACACAGGGTATAAGATGTGAGTTTTGGAGGGCTTGGGTGGCCCCACTTTCATGACCCTGCTGTTGGTAGTGACAATGACTTCTCTCTTAGGCAGGCTCCACTTAGAGCCTGCAGTTTTCTTTGGCAAATGTTCCAAGTTCTTGACATGTCCAGCTACCTGGGGTCTCCATTGCCTTTTGGCTTTATTGGCACATCTTCAAACAGTACCCTCTCAGTAGCTCCTTGCCTGGCCTGCCAGGCCTTTAAAATTTGAGTAGAATCCTCACCAAGCCTACAGCTTTTGCCTTCTGCTTGCTGGTAAAACCTGTATCATGTGGATAATGCCTAGTTCTGCCACCAGTGCCGACAGTAGCCAGGCCTACTTGGACCTTGGCTGCAGCAACCTCTTGAGTGGCTGAACAGAGTGAAATGAATCTTGGAGAACTAATTCCTTAGGTCCTTCTCAAGCAGGGCACCCAAGGACTCACTTCTTAAATGAGAGGTTTACACTTTTACACCTTTGGGTCTGCAGTAGGTGAGGTCATGCTTATTCCTGAGATGCCTTCAAGACATCTTTCTTCTTATCCAAATAAAAAGTACAGAAAGTCTTTGACTTACGTTCAGTTGCAAACTTTCACAGATATGAATGGGCCTCCCATTTGGTATTTTTATGCTTTACATTGTATATTTGTGTCAAAGGTGTACAAGTCTCACTTTGTCAGACATACAAATATAAATCTGATAAATAAATCTGATTTAAGAATGTTCTCCCAGACAGAACTTGTTCATAAGTTTATTACTCTATAATAATACCTTGGTTTGTGAGAATAATTTGTTCCTCTTGTAAACTAAAGCACTTGTGTATTAAAGCAGCAAGAGAGAGAAGAACCATTTATGATCATGTGACATTTGGCATGGTATACTATTTATAAGACATTGCTTGTTTATCAAGATAAAATTTCTTAGAAATATTTGCTTGTCTTGTGGAACACTTGCGGACCAAGTTACTCGCAATCCAGGGCTTGACTGTATTTGCTTTCTTCTTAATGGTGCAGATCTCTTCAGCAGCCATACCTCCTTTGACCCCAACTTTACACATAGTTCTTTCTGGACCAAAATTTAAGTTTTTCAAATTTTTCTTCTCTGCCTTTTGGCCCTAATTCTCACTGTAAATCTGGCTAAAAGCTTCGAGTTGTCCACATGCCACATCCTAAATGTTGAGCTCTCTTGAAATTTCTTTCACCAGATAAATTAGTCCACTGGGCTTTATCTCAGTTCCCTGCAAAGTCTCAGTACATGGGCAAGATGTAGACAAATTTTCTGCCAAAGTGTAATACACATGGCCTTTAGTCCAACTGCCAGTAGAGACCTTCTTCCTAGCTGCAATCTGAGCCTTGCCTTTACTGTCCATGTTCCTGTCAGCATTCTGGTCTTCTGAGTTCCCACCAGAATCACCCATCAAGCTGTTTACAGCATTGTAGGGCCTCTCTAGCCTGTATCTCCAAACTTTCTTAAACTTCCCCTGCAAGGCATTTCAAAGACTTAAACCACATGGTCAGGTACAGTCCCAGCAATGACCCCATTTCTCCAGTACCAATTTTTTATATTAGCTTTCTTGCTGTTGGAGGCAATGTTTGACATTCAGAACTTAAAGGACAGGTTTCATTTCATTCTGTTTTAAGGGAATTTTGTCCATGGTTATCTGGCTCCAAGGCAGAAACGATGAAAGGGCCCGTGGAGCAAAGGTACTTAGTTTATGGTGGCTGGGAAGTAGAGCAGGGGAACAGTGCCAGAGAGGGAATGGTGAGGGACCGGACATAGACTTCAAGCTCACATTTCCATGGCCCAGCCAGACTTAACTAGGAGTGTGCTCCCGTAATCCTCCAGGTGGATCCCGAAGCCAATCAAGTTGACACTGTGCCCTGATCTCCAGACAGTGCTTGTTCTGTATGCACATCAACCATAAAAATAGATACAAAGTAGACTTGGAGCTTTCTAGAGATCCATAATTTAAAAAAAAATATATTTTATTTTATTCCATTCCCCCCCTTAAGCCTTCTCCCCTCCCTATGTACAGAAGCTTTGTTTCCAGTTTTTTCCTTCTATTTTCACTTTTTTTTCCCCAGAGATCAATAATTTACCTCTAAGAATGGTTACTCATGCTGGTTTTAGATGGAATTTGATTAGAGTAGTTCTGGGTGGATAAGTTGGAACACATTGACTAGAAGTATATTTCTTATGTAATTTTTCATTGTTGACAATTCCTCTTTGTTGTCCCTTCCCAAACATTAATGTGTGAAATTGTTTGGTCATTCACAAATTATTTTGGACTTCTGTACAGTGATTGGCAGTGATTTGTGTTTATTTATGAATCTAGGTATGGTATCCGTTTTGGACTTGATGCAAGGTGGATTCCCATCACGAGCTTCATTTCATGAACTGTACAACATGTATAAAAAGTATATGCCAGATAAACTTGCAAGATTGGACCCAAGGCTGTTTTGTAAGGTACAAATGCTGCTTAAATTGATTTCTTTTTTTTTTTTATTGGTACATTGTATTGGTACATTTTAGGTCTGCAATTTGTTTACATTTATCATTGGGCGCTTATACCTGAACATGATGTATCTTACTTCTTATTTTTTTTCCCCATTACCTATATAAATTGATTTCTTGTCATTGAAATCTTTCCTATTAATTACTAGTTGAAATTTAATTTTTTAACTTTTATTTTTTCAGGCTCTTTTTAAAGCATTGGGCTTAAATGAAATTGATTACAAGTTTGGATTAACAAAAGTATTTTTTAGACCTGGCAAGGTAAATATATTTTTATTTTAAACTTTAACATCATGCCTATGGGCACTTAGCTTTACTAAATGTTTTTAAGTAATTAGCGATTTGTATTATTCTTGAATTATATGGTTACTTGAACAACATAGACTATACACATGTCATGTGTATGTGTTCACATACAGTTTTCTTATTTGTGAGAAATTTATAATATTTAATTCTACATAACTTTTGCAATATTTTTCAGTATTTGAATCAGAGCATTGTTTAATTGACTTTTTAATTTACTTAGTAAGAGGGTTAACCAGAGAATACTAACATTTCAAACAAATTGGAAGATTTTCTAAAGCATTAATTCAGTCTTCAGTGATTTGAGATTTCATGGTACTTTGGAGTTCACTGTGATGTTTTACTAGGGTATGGTAGATGTACAAGGTATAGGAAATTGTACTGGACTTTGTATTGACAAAGCCTAGAATGACTTAATGTATAAATACTTTGGAATGTAACAGGATTTTTTTTAGGTTAACACATAATCCGACAGTTTTAATATTTATAGTTTGTATAGTAATTTATGACTAAATGCATTAAATAAATGTCCAGTGCTATTTACAATCTATCAGTAATATTTTCACATTCCTAATTTCTTTAATAGTGGTTTAATAATTGCATCTTCATTTTAAACATAATTGTTATTATATTTAAATAGCCAGTAATACTAATTGGATTAAGCAAAATCATTAATAAATATCTTTAGTGTCTTGAGGATAAATTAATTATAATAAATCTGATTTTACATTTTTTTTTTGTTAAATTCTTTTATTGGTA